GGCGCACAATACGAGGAATTGGCGTACAGTCTTCTTGTCAATTGGCAGCAATGGTGGCTGTTTTCCGCGGGTCCGGACGGACTCCAGAGTTGCTTATCACGTTTCCCAGAAATAACAGCTCTTCGTATGCAAAGCGGCACTTTTCTGGCTTCAGGATTAGTTCAGAGGTGTCGATAACTTCAAGTACCGGTTCAAGGCACCGGAGATTCTTGTGAAAGCTCGAGGAAAACACGACGGCGTCACCCAAGTATACGAGACAAGTCTGCCATTTCAATCCAGCCAGCATGGTGTCCATAACGTGCTGGAACGTTGCAGGCGCTGAGCAAAGACCAAATGGCATGACCTTGAACTTGAAGAGGCCATCTGGTGTGATAAAGGCCATCTTCTCTCAATCTCTCTCGTCAATATCAATTTGCCAATAGCCCATTTTGAGGTCCATCGATGAAGAGTATTTCGTGCTGTGGAGTCGTTCCAGGGCATCGTCTATACGTGGAAGAAGGTACACGTCCTTCTTTGTGATTTTTTTTAGACGGCGGTAATCAACGCAAAAACGTAGAGTCCTGTCCTTCTTCACTAATACCACGGGTGACGCCCATGGACTCTTGGATGGCTGAATGACGTCGTCGCGCAGCATTTCGTCGACTTGTTTCTTCACGTCGTCGCGTTTGAGCGTCGAGACTCAGTACGGGCTTTGTCGAACTGGTCAGGCACTTTCTTCTGTTATGATGCAATTCTTTGTGACTGGGATTTGTCAAATTCTCAATGATGACCAGAAGCAGTCCTCGAATCACAAGAGCAGGGACTTGAGCTAGTCTTGCTTGCTTTTTGAAAGACTCTGGTTGATGCCGAAATTTGGTTCGGGACCTTGATTCGTCGAAGCAGCGTCGGCAGCATCGAAGAAGGCGAATTAATTGCTGGCCTTCACGAATTCATCGATGTAGGCGACCGTCATACCATGGTTAAGGTGCCTGTATTCGTGACTGAAGTTTGTCAGCCCCACCTCTGCTTTGCCGTCACACAGCTCAGCTATGGCTCTTGCAACGCAAATCTGATGATTTAAAAGAAAGCCCTGATAACCCTCGACGACGTCTTCAAGGTTTTCGGCTCTTCGGTGCCAACAGAAATGACGACCTTAGAGAAAGGCGGCACGGTGACCTACTCTTCTAGCACATTCAATGAGTGTTTCCTTGATGTTGTAGGAGCCCATACCATGTTTCCACAGGTTAGTGTGATTGACTCTGATCTCAGGTTGGTAACAGCGCCGTGTTGACTTAGAAAATCCATCCCGAGTATCACATCCCTGGAGCAATTTTGTAAAACTACAAAGCTCGCAGGATAAGTTTCGTTATTGATGGCGACTCTTGTTGTGCAGACTACAGTTGATGATACTAAGTGACCTCCAGTGGTCCGAATTTCGGGGCTTTGCCATGCAGTCCTCACTTTTTTCAACTTCGTCGTGAAAGGTCTACTGGCGCCGGAATAGTCAGCTCCAGTATCGACGAGAGCATTGACGAGGTGGCCGTGCAATATTATGACGAGGTCACTGGTTCATCATCGTGTGTTGCGTTTGGGTCGTAGAGTCGGATCGCGGCTACACCTATTTGGTTCCATGTTTCCACATTGCTGCATCGTGATGTCTTCATGTTGCGAAGGTTCGACATCAAGACCCTTTTCGTCTTGCGGCGAGTGCTTTCGATTTCGTTGTAGCGACGAAAAGTCTTCGGTAGTTCATTGTACAGCAATCGCACCTCCATCGATTGCTGCCCTTAGTTTTCCGGGTACGGGTTCGGAGATCGGCCCCAAGCAAGGCCGGTGTAGTGCCCACAGTGCGGTGAGGCGTTGCAGCCTGGCGATGGCGAACGAAAAGGTCGTCAGGGTGTCAACTGCACTCCCACGAAGTAGTCAGCGATGTCATGTGGTCGTTCGGCACGTTGTGGACAAGGCACATTGATGTCGAAGCCCCGCAGGCCCATCAGTCAGTACTGGCAATGGCAGTAGGTGTGCCCGGTCTCGCCGCTGTGGTAGCAAAGTGGACGGTTGTCAGGTGCGCGCCAAACATCGTTTTTTTTTTCGGTGCGCTGTGCTGTCCTGCTGGCGAACGGTAGAACATCTGCGATAGCGGCAGTAGCGTCTGGGGACGGGGCGGCGTCCTGGCATGGATGTGCAGGAGAGGCATGCCGGCAGGCTGCCGTTCTGGAGGCTGAGAAATGCCCAGCGATTGCTGGATCTCTTGGCGTACAATGTCCGTGATGGAGTCCACGCGATGCTGCACTGAAGAAAGCAATTTTCGCAGCTCTTCTTGCACGATCACTTGGATCGTCTCACGCAAGTCGACGGTTCCTAGCACATAGATGTCGGCGTAGCTTGTAGACAAGAAGCTACGGTTGTATTGCCACGTCTGCATTTCAAACGTATTCACTGTCGTAGATGTTTCTGAAATGAATTTAGCGAGCGTGTTTGGGGTGTTCCTGATCGGCCCAGCGAAGAGTTTTTGCTTCACTACTTGCATGAGCAGATGGACCTTCTCCTCGCACATGTTGGGTTCAGCGTGGTGGAAGAGGCGTTTCATTTTTTTACGTGAAAATGGTGAAGTTTTCATTGGGCAGTTGCATACAGATCTCCAGCAACACAGCGGCCTTCTTTTTGCGAGCGCCGCTTGTGAATGTTTGCAGGAATGCGCCGCAGAAAAGATCTCACGTTTGAAGCGAGGACTCCCTATTCTCAAACCGCATCCTTGCCACGTCTTCCAGATAAAAGTAGACGTGACGGAGCTTCCCTCTCGCGTCCCAGTGGTTGAGGGCGGCCACTCAGTCGTAGGTCTCTAGCGATGTCTCCGATACATCAAACGATGACCCATGAAAAATCGATGGTTCCCTTGGCTGCTGCATCACGATAGTAGACTGTGGTGCAGCAGTCGTCATCATTGCCGCAGTCGAGGTCGTGGGCTTGGTCTTCTGAGCCTTGTCTTGTAGAGGCCTCAACTCCGGAGGTAAACCTTGCTGCCTGCGGCTTGTTCGGTGCTCGTGGCTGGCGTTGGTGCCTTCTTCGCGACATGGGCTGGGTTCACGGCTTGACGGGGGCATCCGCTACATGAACAAAGCAGCACCTCCACCAGATGTCACCGGGTCGTGACGTGAACGAAGAGAGCAGACTCCACATCAAATAATAAACTGTTTATTCGGGGCGAACTTGTGGCTACGCAGCAGGAAAATAAAGACACTGGCACTGATAGCGGCGAACAGAGCGGCGGCTGTCGATCAACTGACAAGCAGCGAAGCAAGTTGGCAGTGATACACTTGCCATCGAACATTTTAGCATTATCACTAGTGCGACGTAGGTTCCAGAATAATCTGAAAGGTTCACGATGTAGGTGTAACTTTAACAAAACAATCTACTACAACCTCGGAGCTTCTCTAACCCTGTACGTATGGTTTGCGCTGAACATAAAGTAACAGGGGGATAACAAAACTTGAGGAACGGAACGTGGCCCAAGGGTACGCTGAAGAGGCCCGTAATAAAGAAAAAACATTTTTTAAGAAGTAAGCGGTACTTATGGCAGACAGTGAATATGCATGCAAAGAAAAAGTGGCCTGTGGTCGGCAAAAAAACAAAACAAACGCAGTTCACTGTTCTTTGGAGAACTAAGCGACAATAACTTTACAGTTGACCTTGTTCATCCGCCGTAACAATTTGTAGGGTCCGAAGTACATGCTCGGGAGTTTCTCACTGCGTGCTCGCCTTCTAATAGGAGCCCAAAACTACAAGTGGTCACCAGGTTCATAGGTAACTTGTCGATGGTTGGCATTGTACCTGCGTGCATCTGCACTATACTGCATTCTGATGTGCTTCCTCGGCACTCAGAATGTATTCCTCAATGTCAGGAGCTGCTTGTGCTCGTCAATGTCGTAAGGAATGATGGGGTCTCACCTAGCTTGAGCCAATATCAAATTTTAGGGAATGTCAAAGCAAACCTTGTACCTTAAAAACAAAAACTTAATGTATATGAGACACTGTTACAATATTCTTTCCGCCATTTGCACGTTATGACACAAACAAGAAAGAATTTATTCTTTTGTATCATAGAGCAACAAAAATTGTGTTATATGAAAAATGGGGCAAAATAGACAAGAAGATTGCAGTTCCAAAGCGCAGAGCAGCCATGAATTAAAAATCAGCTGACGAGACCTCTTATAAAGGTCATGAGGAGACGCAACAGGTTCTGAACAAAGGCACTACATTTCGCTTCTCAAGAATCTGCGCTCAAATATCATGTCACCTTGGCATTGCTACCAAGAACTCATGAAACAGAGTATGGCGGGCCATTTTTTGTCAGACTCGTTTTTTGTTAGATAGCCACAGGAAGTAAAAGAGTAAAAGTACTGGCGTTAGTTCCACATTCAATTTAATCACAATAAAATATGCCTATTATGATTTAAAGGAAAATTGAAGTAAATGAGAACAGACACCTCGGCGCCAGAGTTATCCGAGCCCACTACCTCCCATTACAAGTAATTTCAGTGCAATTCTTATTACGCTATGGCTAGAGGCGTTTCCTATAAAGTTTATGTCATACTTACGTATGTTTGCCTCACAACCCACCGAGGTGTTGTCCTTTTTGTACACTGACTTTTTTTATGCCACTATTACTTCACGTAAAGAAAATATATTATGCAACCCACATAACTTCCTCAATTTAGAATGACCATGTGTACATTAAAAATGCATCCTCGGTATTTATCTCTGTATTGTTTATTAATATTATTCAATGCCGTGAGTAGAATCACATATACCTTTTACTATTGTACGAATGTTACCACTTTACTTGATGCAAGTGTGCATTGTAATTTATACATTTTTTAATAACATGCAATATACGACACTTCATTTATGTTGCGGTCCAGGCTGTCAAAGTCGACCAAATAAACGGAAGCCCCAAAACTGGGGCTGACCCTGCAATGGACTACAGCGAAGAACAATCATCAGTCATACAAGGGACGTACCGGACTGTCGTCGCCGTTCCTGATTTTGTACACAGTATTCGTGTATTTCCGTTCCCGCGTGCCGGCACGAGATATCTTCAGTTCGTCCATGTGGTTGGCCACTTCGATGTCATCGTCTCCACCGACGCCCAACTCCGGCTCAATGTAGCATGAACGAGGCATAAGGATGATCAGTTTCTTGACGGCAAGGACCACATCGTTGTCCTGCTCGTATTGTGTCATCCGTTCTAGAAGAGCTGCACAAATGTAACCACAGAGCTACTATGTCTGACATGAAGACAATAGTGAAAGAGGTGGGATTAACCGAGGGTTAATTTTTTTTTTTTGTCCCACACAGCTTAAAAAAGCTAACAGACAATCAAGCTAATGAAAGTGTAGGGGACGTCCTTTGCATGTGTTAACTGTGGCATGGTATTTATGACATAAATAAACAGGAGTTAAAGCGGCTAAAAAATAAATTGGCCACATACTGAAGCTACAACCTTTGGGTATTGTTTCCCCATTCATTTGGGAAAATTATTGGTTCTGGGGCAGAGCATAGGGCACGTTTCTGCCCATGTCCCTACCCGGGCAAGTTCATTTTTCATCCCCTTTAGCTCCCTTCCACTTCTGTCATCTTCACCATACCATTGTTGAGACATGCAAGCAACATCCCCTATAACTTCTTTAGCTGGATTGTCGGTTGGTTTCATTGGGAAGACGACAGCGTTACACTATGAAATAACACACTATAAAATCAGATTGCATGCTTTAGAAAGTTTTTTCATACTGAAACAGTGAACATCATTGAGCTAGCTTATGCTTTCTTTTTGCAGAACTTGGTGTGGGTGCTTTCCCTATCATTAACTATGTCATATTGATAGTGGAGCAAGATGTCCAAAATCATGAGACAGCTCTTAAAATTGAAGCCACCAGGTCGGTAGAAAATAAAAACGCTCTTTTTCTACCTGCTCACTCTGACTGTACATAGCACAGATGCAATGATGTAGTTTACGGCTTACCATTAAGTTGCAACACAGATTAAATTGATTATTATCACAGCATGTATGTACAGCACAGACAGGACAGCTGTTTGTGGTTGAAAAGGTCTGCGCAGCCACACAATTAAGACCACACTTAATTAAAAAACAAAATCAAAGCATATCCACGGAGTGAATGATGATGAGTGGGGTGAAGTGTCCATTTGTCCATCCGTCGGTGTGTCCATTCATGCATGCGTTCATACATCCGATGGACGCATGAATGTCACGTATGTGTTCGAGAATGCAGACAGTGCGTGGGTAACACTGACGAGACGGGCCTCAAGGAAGCAAAGCACAAGCGTCTTCAACTTGCCCGCCCCTCTGTTTCGTCCATGCCCTACCAACGAACAGCCACATACTGGGACTATCCAAAAGACTGAGAGAGGCACTCGTTTTTCGTGTATCCTGGCACAGCCCACACAGCAGCCAATCAGAGAGCAACACCATCTAGAATATCCTTACTCAACTTCAGTTTATATGAATGGATGGATGGATGGATGGATTGATTGATGTGGCTGTACCCCTAAGATTGGGCGGTGGCTAACGCCACATAGCCGTACTTTTATGAGACAGCGCCATTTATTATACTGTTCGGGAGATAGTGCCTTCTTTTCTTCCTCATTTATTCTTCTTTAGATTACGCATGACGCATGATAAGGTTAGACTAAAAGGAGCTTCACCCCTAAAAAAACAAACACAATAACCAGGTGGTAAGCCTCAACCCATTTTCTGGTCTGCTACTCAGAATTCCGAAAGCCCGTTAGGAAACTGCCCTTGGGCCAGCACAAATGCAGTGACTGTTCTTAATTTTAGCAGTACACTGGGAACAAGAACTAAGAAGAAATAATGTGCACAACACAAACACTTTTTCTTAGTCGTCGTCCCCCATTGCGCTGCTAAATTTAAGATGAATAAATACCAATGTGCTGAAGTTTTAATTCTCAAACAATGAACTGGTGTCGCCTGTCTTGCTGGAGAGCCAAGTGGTCATTTCAGCCCTCTTGCTACGAAGTGAACAGTAATTACACTGCAAGACAGTTGTCTACGAAGGTGATTTTGAAAAGTTACAGCCATGGTACGGCTTTGTTGCATGAGAAGCGATGGAGTTTAACGGTACGAAAGGTGCACGCATCACAAGTGCTCCTGCAGTTGTCATCAAAGTTGGGGCAAGAGCATCATGCATCATGCCGGAAAGCATGATATGCTCCATGGTGGTTTAGATGCATTTTTTATTGACCTGGTTAATAAGCTGTTCAGATTTTTTATGAATACACTTCTCTATTTGAGCCGCACAGTATCCTTGTCGCTGCTTGAGTCCTTTGACTATCGTTGATGCGGGAGGACGTGAATGGCCAATGGTAAGCGGAAGCCCTGTTGACTGAGTTACGTCCCTTCGAGGATGCTTTGCTCCTCCATCCGGAGCATGGGACGCCAGTGTTGAGCTTGAGGGACGTGGTATAACAGTTAGCTTGGTTAGCTACATCGGTGAAGATGGTGCTCCCGCTGTCTTTTGACTGTGCAGCCAGGGGTGCAGGTGGTCCGGCATAAAAACACTGCCATGTTAGTTTGAGCATGGGTCTCCGAAAACCTTGTTTCGAGAAAGAGCGGTGCTGATGCTCCTGCATGTTCCCTTTCTTGCGTTGTTTTTTGGCAGCCGGCTTGCGCTTTTGTTTAATTTTCTTCTCTCCTTCTCGTCTTTTTGGACAGTTTGTGGATATACCAGCTTAGACTCATGACAGCTGTGGCACTTCTAATCTGTGTTTGGGCATTGCGAGCACTATTTGTGCTGCCGCAAACCACATGTCGAACATCTCGCTGCCGAAATATTGGAGCATTGTTCCTTGTGATGCCATGTTATATACTACAAACGGCCACTCGTGCACGATACAGAATAACACGAATCGTAAATGACTGCAAGCCAACCTTATAGGGTAAGTTCTTACCTTCAATTAAAACCATGGCAGTGCCTTTGTCACCAAGGGGGCGTGCCTGCAGGATTTTGCACTAGTGGCAGTGCAATGAGTTCACGAGTTCCTCAGAAGTAATGTATTCAGTGTTTTGAATAAAGCCTCTGATTTGATTCTAATTAATCACTTTGTATACTTGTAAAGGCACTTCCCTTCCACCGATGAGCAGAGACGCTATCACGAGAAGGGTGTTGCACACCTCTGGTTAAGCCGTATCGACTGCGAACTGGTTGCTATGGCCTAAATAGTGAGCCCTGAACTGCGGTGAGTTGGCTATCCAGTCGTATGAACTGCTCATCCATGATGCGGCAGAGTTACTTAGGCCGAAGAATGACAGTGTGCTGATAAATGTGCGCGGCACCTAAGCTCAGCGTCACCACGACCACAACATGGTTTTATTTTTTTTGGCGACAGCTGACGGATATCCAACCATCCTCTTGGTCTAGGTAACAAGAGAAAGCAGGGAGTGTGTGACGCAGACTTCTCGCGTGGGTGTAATCCTATAGGCATGCTATAGTGTGCTGTCATTCGAGTGTCGGCAAGAGCGAGCCTCACGCATGTTTTTCTCCATTCGGTGCGCCAGAAATTATGCGAGCTTGATGAAAAGTATTGCCAGACTTGCTTTCAATCCTATTCTGTTCTTCGAGCTCCCGAAGTGGGGCGAATGATTTGCTATCTGTCAGCAGCAGCATTAGCAGCTTTGAAGGCATAGTAACGGCAGGCGAGCTCTTTGTTGAAGTCGCCGATGTCACCGAGGCAGTCAAGTTGTCTGAAGCCTGTAGGTCTGTATCCTCAGGTTGCAGCACATCTGTTAGGTGATGTGGTGATGGCTTGACAGCTGTGGTGATGGCTTGACCGCTAAGCGCCGGCCAAGTGATGGTTATCGTTCAAGCGCACTCAGAACACGTGCGACCACTCGAATCAGACGCTAGTGAGCGAAGCCCCCCAGTACACTGTAATCCTCACCGGTGTAAGCCAAAAATCTAGATGCGAAATGGTGGCCATCAAATGGCTGCCGTGCAAACATAGGCTCACCCACCTTTGTAGTACACGCAGATGATGCTTGGATGTTTTTTCATCATCAGCCAATCGGCGGGACAAGTGGATGGCGGGCAGCGTTCTGCGAAAGCGTCGATGAGCGTGCCTCCATTCTTCAGCTGACCAAGCTGTTTTCTCAACGCATGTGCTGCTTTCTGCCAGCCGTGGTTGAATTTGCATGTGCACAGCGCTTACTGCGCACCTCTATCGAGCACCCTGACATCACTGGAAAAGTGCCGACTTGCCCGGTTTTTGTACTTAAAAGTAGCAGTAGTAGCAATGGTCTTCAGTGGACACGGCGGCAAGGCCGCGCAAACGATGGCTCACGCACCTTTGTACATGCGGGTTAGTGAAAAGAAATATGATATTCGTAGTGATTACCTTTGCCTTGTCATGCTGCCGTGTCCACATACAATTGTGAAATGTATTGGAGAGTGTTTTTCTTTGGCGGAGATTTCCTTGCTTTTATTGGGAGCTGGTGAAAGATAACCAGGGCCTACTCAAGTGGAGATGATTAGGGAACTTCTTGACACACAGAAGGTAATCTTGAGTGAACATTTGGAGATTTAGGAAAAACAGTCCTCTTCTGAAGCTAGCTTGGTTCAAATGAATATCAGATTATCAATCATTGAGGAAAGTTCGAAGAAAATTGAAAGTATGAAAAACATACTAACCAACGTTGAGGCCAATCTGTACGAAAGAGACAGGAATATAGATTCCCTCAATCGAAAGATTGATAACTTAGAAAATATATCTGGGTGTAACAACCTAATAATAAGAGGTATTAGAGAAGATGGATACGAAAATGATGACATTTTGATAAAAGAGATGAATAAGGATGTGTTTAGCAACGTACTGAAACTTAAAATAAATTCAATTGAAAGAGTACAATGCCTAATTAAAAAAAACTGGATGTAGAGACCGTCCCATAATTATAAAGTTAGCTGACTTCCGAGATTCAGTCAGTCAAGAACTTTAATATATGGTCCTGAGGAGTTTAAGCCACCAGGGTGCCCACGTGGGACATCCTAGCAGCCGCTACCGTAGGCGACGCCCGAGTCGGGGCGGGAACGTGGTGGCGTTCCGCCAGTTCTTGGGCCCTCTGGACTGCCTTAAGTTGGTTTCGGAGATTGGGGCTCCTGAGTGCCTCCTCCCAGTCGGACTCACTGGTGAGAGGTCCCTGAGGTAACGCGGGACATTGCCAGAGCA